TAAATGTTGTAGATCCATATTATAAAGATGTTCATATAAGAATGGATGGGGAGAGATAATATAGGTGTATGTGTATACACTCTAAAGTAGATGTAAATCATATAATATTATATCAGAGTCTATAATATACACTCTTCGATGATATAATACCGAATCCTAGATAAGATAAGTGCACGCTGGGGGGCTCATATTTGCACTAGGTAAATGCTCATTCTTGAAATTGGGCGCAATCGTTTTTCTGTTGTTGTTTACTCTTAACAATTTATAATATATTTAAAATATTTGTTGTTTTCTGTTTTTGTTTTTCTTAATTGCTGAAGAAATTGATAATTTGTATATATAATAATTTTTATTGCTTTTGTTTGGTTTGTGATTTTCGGTTTTCCCACTTTGCTTTTCCATAGTTTTCAGCTACTGAATTAGTCTCGTTGTTGCATGCCTCACTCGTTGCATTTCATGATAAGAATTAAGTATATTGTTGTTTAACTATTTGATTGTTTAATTAAGTACTAGATAATATGGCACACAAAATAGTATTAGTCAAAAAACTCACTACAGCACATGTTAAATATTATTGTTTTTATATTGTTTCATAAATAAAGAAAACAAAATTATAAATCAAGAAAAACTGGAAGCATAATTTTGTGGAATTCTAATGTAATACTTTATAAAGTTTACTCTTAAGTACTGGCTGCGGTTTACAATAATAATAATAATAATCATAATCATAATGATAATAATAATAATAACAATTGAATTGATGTAAAAAAGCATCTAAAGGTTATTTGAGTAACAATTCATAAAAAGTCTTTTGAATCAACTACGAGATATTTCTTTGATATCATAGCTAAAGAATCTGCTTGGATAGAATCTTAAGTTCATTTAGTATTATAATATTACGTATGTGTGGGCTTATTAAGATTTATAGATTGAAAACCTTTTATTTGATACTGTACGATACGATACGATACGATTTGATTCGATTTGATTCAAGTTGTTTAACTTTGCTTTAGACCTGTCTCTCCAGACAAGTTGTGTAAGGAAACTCTTGGAAACTCTTAGGGCGCTACATAATAAATAGTTTCTAACTGTGGTGCAGACTTTCATATTTTGGGGACATATCGTGAGCGTAACTATCTAAAGAAGTGATCACATATGTACATAATGGCTGAAGAAACGATCCTTGATATCCGCATGCTTGATCTTGCAATGGGCCTTCATATTGTCGCGACGCGTGAACTTCTGGCCACAGACGGGGCACTCGTGGCTCTGCGGCCGATGGATGTTGGCGTGATGCCAGCGATTCGACACGATCTTGTTGCAGCTGACGCAGCGATAGAGCGTGGGCAGCGTACCAGATAGCTGTACGAACAGCGTTGAGTAGTCTATGTTATGATCCCGACGATTCGCTGCCGCTGCTGCTGCTGCTGCTGCTGCTGCCGCCGCTGCTGCAGAGGTTGATGATGAGGAGGAGCTGGGCTGCGGCGAGAGTGGACCAATGGCGGGCTGATAGTGCGGCGATTGCTGCGAAGTGCTGGCTGCCAGGGAGGAGGACGACGATGATGGCGCCGGCGGTGGCCCATGATGTCCATGATGGCCATAGCTGTGCGCCAACTCCAGCTGCTGTGCCCCATTGGGCGACTGCTGCAGCGCATAGCTCAAGTGCGATTGCTGCTGCTGCTGCTGCTGTTGCTGCTCTCGATAGCTGCTGCTGCTGGAGGTGGGCGTGGGCGAGTAGGCCGCTGCTGCCTCAGCGCCGCACAGGGTTTCCGCTGCGGTAGCGGCCACAACTCCGCTGCTGTGCCGGCCCAGATTCAGCGCCGTTTGCGGCGCCGTCGCCAACTGATGCTGATGCGGATGCGGATGCGGATGCGGATGCGGATGATGTTGCTGACGATTGCAGCGTATGGCGCGCATATTGCGCTCCTTGCACTTGTACTCGCAGTTGTAGCTATTATCCATGTACAGATCCGCTGCGGGCATGTCCTCGTCGTGCGGCGCATAGATGATGGCGCGCCTATACTTGGGCGTGGCATGATGATAGGCGAGTGCTGCTGCTGCCTCTGCCGCCTCTGCCTCCTCATCGGCGTCCACATCCTGGACAACGGCAACGGCCACATCGATCTCGACATCGTCGTCCGCTTCCTGCTTGCGGGCACTGTTAAAACATTTAACGCGACCTGCAAACATTTGCGTTTCGTATAATGCGTTATCACTGTGGCGATAGGTTTATTTATTTATTTTTTTTTTTTTTTTTTTTTTTGGTTTCTTTTCTATGTTTTTTAGCGGGATTTGCCGAGTGCGTGGAATGCAATGCCTGGGGCCAAATTGGGGGGATGCGCGCTCGTTTACATTCCATGCGCACAGTGGGCTCTGGCCAATTGGTAATTGGAACTGAATAAGGCAGGCCATAAGGATTTGCATATTGTATATATGTATGTAGATATATATATATGTGGTATATGGTATAGGTAGATATAAGTAGATGTAGATATATATGTATGTTGACTTGGGTTTTTATTTTTATTTATTTTTTTTGTAATATTCTGTTGGTTATGCAAACGAATTGAAACAGCTACAAGAATAATTTTTCGGTATTTTTTGCTTTTCAGTTTTGGTTTTTGGTTTTCATTACATTTCAATCAAGTTTTTTATGCGTGTGTATAGATTGTAGGTGTTTTAGCATTAAAGAAAAAAAAAATTAAATGCATTGAGAACAAAGTGGAGCTAGGAATGAAGCTGGCTGGCTTAAATAGCTTTGGCACTATGAGGATTTCAAATCATATCGAATTAACGTAGGAAAACATATTTATATCAAAATCAATATATAAATTATAGCATCTTAGAAACAATTTGTCAACTAAAATTAAATTAAAAATTAAACACAAATGAAAAATCGTAACTTAAGGCTAAAGAAATTGGTTTTTGGTTTTGGTTTCGGCGGGTTTTTTTTTCAGGCTCTATTCAAACAAATCAGCTATATATAGAGTATTTGTATAAGTGTGTGTAGATATTGCATTTAAGGAAAACAAATTTCAAAAAAAAACTATGAATACATATTAATCTCTATATGTTTGTGTGTCATTTGTGGACATTTACATAATATAATACAATTTTTGTTGTTGTCTTTCATCAAGATCTTTCATTTTGGTACTTCAATGTTGCAACAAATGTTTCAGCAATAAACGATATATGTATATATTCTTTATAATACTTAATTTTATGTTTTATATTTATCTTTTGTTTGGTGCAAATTCCAGTTCTTTTCGTTTTTTTCTTTTTGAGGCCTATGTGTGGGTAGCTTAAGGGGAATTTTCGTTAGATAAGGTACGTTGATAAGTTCTTTAAATTTTTGCGCAATTCGTAACCAATGTGCATGGTAAATCCTTAGCTTTGTAAAGACCGTAAGACTAAGTTCACACACACACACACACATACGGACTCAGCATACACACACACACGCACAGTACACATACACGTATTCATATAGTATATGCATAAACAGAGAAAGAGAGATAGAGAGAGAGAGACAGAGAGAGAGAGATAGACGAAAAGAAAAAAAAACACACACATTTAGTGAATCGACAAAAACCAATTACAATTAAACAGACAATCATTTACATCTCGTTAAACAGTGGTGGCAAATAAATTGAGCTCACATTAAATTATATATGCAGCAAGTAGGTTAGTGTAAATATTCAACAGAAAAATTATATATATATATTTATGTATATAGAAACTGAATGAATTTTGAAGCTGTGGCGTTTTCCTTTTTTTATTTTAATTGTTATTTGTTTATATTTGTATTATTGTTGTTATTGAAAAAAAAAAACTTTTTTTTTTTATAGTCTCTTGTTTTTGGTTTTCTTACCGAAAGAATTATTTGGTATTCGATTTTCTTAGACAATAAGTTGCAACATTAAAGACGAAAATAGAGTTGAAAAATTTGAGGTTCTTGTTTCAGTTTAGCACAGTTATGAATAGAGTTAATATAACAAATAAATAACGCGCACAAAAGGCTTCAAAAATAAAAAATAAAAATATATAACAAATTAGTTATAGAAAAAAAAAAATAATATTATTATTATAATATTAAGCAGTTAGTTAATGTAAGAAAGAGAGAAAAGATTTTAGAGATATGTTTAAGAACTATTGGAGTGTGTGTGCGTGTGTGTGTGTGAGCGTGTGTGTTTGTTTTATGATATATTATTTGATTACTTATGATTTTTTTTTAGTTAATTAGTGTGTGTTTTTATTTTGATTATTTTTTTTTTTTTATATATTTTTTATATATTTTTATTATATGTGAGCCAATTTGCTTAAACTGAAGGTAATTTGAATGGATGTCAGCGGAGGCATTTCCTATATAGATTTAACTATGAATTAAAGAGATCTCGATAGCTTAATGTAAGAGGAAAAACAATCATAAATAATATATGTATGTATATTAACTATGTACTCATACATAATCATAATAATAATAGTGGGCGTGTGTGTATGCGTCATCTAAACATGCAGCATGCGGCAACATACAAAGTAAACTAAACCGATTACGATAACGATTACGATTACGATTACGATAAAAGTCAGCTAATATAGTTTGCGCCTACGATTTAAACAAAATACGATACGACAAAACAAACAAAAATAATTCATGTACTACAAATATATGTAGATATATATATATAAAGTATATATATATATATATATACATAGCAAAGACTCTATTTGGTAGGAGAGGTGTTGATCTGTTGCTCTAGCAAATGGCATTTCCTTCTCGATTTCGCTTAAGAGCTAACATTCAGAGCGCCAATGAAAATATTTTTGAATAAAAAATAATAATAATAGAAGTTATACATATTGGGGAAAAAGAAATAGATAAATACATAAATACAAAAGCATAAAAATGTAAATTTGGGTAAATCAAAATTGATATACATACTATATACTATATATAGCGATATGGGTTAAGTAAAACTTGTCTTGTGTGTGGTGGGGCTGGGTAGGGTTGGGGGCGGGGGATTTCTTGTGGGGGTATAAGAAAGGTGTGAGAGGCCCTTGAATTGGTTTCGAGTCGGTTCCGATTCGCATGAATAATAATTTATTTATATATATATATATCTGGGGAGACGATCTAGTGCATGCAGGATAGCTACATATATATATATAGACTCTACGATTTGGCTGCGCACAGTGCTGCGGTACGGCTGTTACTTGCCCCACTGTGCACAGCCAGTCGCAAGCTACGCTGGGGATAGTTAGGAGCGGGTTATGCGAAAACAAATTAAGCTAAGGACTACGGATTTACAGTTGTTTTACTTGTTTTACTTTTTGTTCTACGAATTTTCCTTCGAACTCAATTAAATCAAATTAAAAAAAAATAGAAAGTTTTGTTTTTTACAGAAATAAAAATATTTTTACAAATTTCGCTAGATATATTATTGTATCATTGGATGATATTGCTTAATTTCGAGTGCATTAGCTTCAAAGCACAGATAGAATATAACGAAACACAATATATACTATAGATATATACATATATGTATATATATAAAGAGAGATTTATATATATATGTATATATATGCATTGATAGAGCAGTGTGTGTGTGTGGTACTCACCGTCAATGTTGTCCGTCTGATCGAGTGGCATCTGTTTGGCATCGTTGTGCTCCTCCCGCGCATCGGCGGCCTGCAGCTGCTGGGTTAACAGCGTGGACATGTCCTCGGCGTGCATTTTGAGAGCAGCGCTCTAAGGGAGGGCAAGTGGAGAGAAAGAGAGAGAGATTGTGGTATAGATTTGTGCACAATTGTTGTCATTGCTTACACTCGTTTACATTTATTCGTTTAATTCAATTGCAAAATGCTTCAAGCTGCTTAAATTAATTACAAAATCTAACTACTACTAAACCTGAGCAAGTGCAACATGTGTGTGTGTGTGTGTGTGTGTGCGTGTGTGTGTGTGTACATGTGTGAGCTGGTTCAGGTGCTATCCTCGCCCACATTGATGGTTATAATATCTGGTGGAGCAGCGCGCTTAGCTGAGCTGCCACTGCCACTGCCACTGCTGCTGCTGCCGCCGCTGCTGCCGCTGCCGCTGCTACTGCTGCTGCTGCCAGTGTTTATCCGGTTCTGCTCCTGCAGCTCGCGCTCGTAGCAGAGACGATGCGACTTGCACTTGTTGTGATGATTGACAATCTCCAGTCGGAAGTTGGAGTTGCCCTCCACAAAGGAGGTGCGTATGTCGGCCAGCTCGTTGCTCCACTTGCGGCAGTGCTTGCAGTACATCGTGTTGGCCAGCTCATCGAACTGCAGCCAATCGAACTGATATAGCCAATTGGCGCGAAAGCGTCCGCTCTTGCGCGACGAGCTGCCCGTCGTGGTGGTGGCTGGCGGACCCAGCAGCTTCTTCGGATCGGGCAGATGTTGTTGTTGCTGCTGCTGCTGCTGCTGCTGCTGTTGCTGCAACAGTCGCTGCACTGTGCTGTCCAGCGTCTCCTGCTGATATTGCAGTTGCAACGTCTTGAGCTGCGCCTCCACCGCATGCTGCAGCAGCAGCTGATGCATTGAGCTCTCCGCCTTGTTCTCAGTGTCTTTTGTGCAGCTGGCTTTGGGCTACACCAAGCGCAACGCAACAGAAATAAGAAACACCAACAGAAAAGGGAGCCAAAAGAAAACAAAATGGAAACAAAAAAAAGACAACTTAAGAAAAAATTGGCAAAACAATCTACTGGTAGAAGGAAGGATTTGACGCTGTTTCTTTTCATTGACTTTATTTATTTATTTTTTTTTTTTTAATTTACTTTAACGAAAATTGTTGAGATTTTTTCTTTTTCTTGGCCGATATTCCATTTCGAGAATGTGAATCTAAATATGTTTCATAAACGAGCCAAACAACCAATCCTTCGTTCGCCCTTTGCTTTACGCGATTTTTTCTTAAATTTTAGAAACAACAACAAATAAAAAAAAAAAAACTCAATAACAATTTGTGAGCAGCTTTTGGTTTTCTCTTGAAGCATTTTGCAATTGGCTTAAATTATGCAAATATATATATGTATATACAAAAAAATATGTCAAGTTCATTCAGCTGCATTTTCTTTTCTTATTTTTTGTATATTTTCTTGTTTTTGGTTTTAGAACAGAAATTGGAACCATCGCACCGGTCCAAAGAAAAAACCTTAACAATTAACTTAGCCAACTAGAATGATGTGAAAATTGCATGTAAAGTGGATCGGGTCGGGCATTACGCATCTAGATAGATCTATGGAGAGCTCCACTTACCGGCAAGTATTCGGGTGGCAGGCCGACGTGATGCTCGCGATGTTGTTGCTGCTGTTGCTGTGCATCCATGAGCTCCTGCTTAATACTTAGCGACTGGCTGAGGCCGCTTAGCGCACTGGCCGCGCCCACATTGCCGCCGCCCAAATGGCCAACGGTCATCGAGAGCGGTGAATCGCGCCGACAGCCGCTGCCGCTGCCGCTGCCGCCGCCGCCGCCCGCATCCTCCGACTCGGAGGTGCTGCCGCCCGTCTTTGGCACCGGACTCGACTTGAAATTGGTGGCCTGTCGAAATGAAAATGCAAACAACGAATTAGCATACTCTTCCTTGCGTCTCAGTTTTTTTTTTTTTGTCATTTCTTTAGCGGTATATCTGATAACCATATAATTTCGACAGTTTGTTTTGGGAGAGCCGCACGTGCCTAGCGATAAGTCAGACAAAAATACACTTCAAACACTTATAAACACACACACATACATACATACATATATCATTAAAGATCTGTAAGCTGATAGGTTCAACTGTTGGGGCTCGTCTGACTCGCGTCTATCGCACCGGCGAAACATAAATGTTGTTTATTCACATTCGAGCGGACGTTGATAACGAACACCGATTCGCCATCACAGTGCAAATACTCTATAATTTATATGCTATATATAAATATATACTTGACACACTATATGCACACGCTCGCACTGTATCGCATTTCCGCTGACTATTGACGACTTTTACAGTTCGATAAGATTTTCATCAGTTACTGTTGCGTAAACTGTCAATAAATGGCCGACAGGCGTTTTCGAGTTTGAAAATCGATTAATGTAATCGATTGTTTTCTACTAACTGTCGGTATGTCTTCTACGTTATACAACTAACTAATTGTTATGTAATAAGTAATCAATCTTTAATCGATTAGTAGCTGTCAACTAGCTATCGAATTAGTATCGATCCGTATCTGTATCTCTACCTGTGTTTGTATCTGTATCTGTATCTGTATCTATATCTGTATTTGTATCTGTATCTGTATCT